AGTGGATTCATAGCTTTGAGGATGTTAGTGTGGAGGTTGGTGGCTGCTTGGTACATTAAAAGTCATCCAGAGCATGAATTCTGTCTTCCATGACTGTCTTATGGTTAGTCTTTCCTTATACCTTCAGCTTCAAACTCTCATTTATTGCAACACTTACAAATAATAATTTCATAGTTTTCCTGACATGTTGCTAAAAAGCAGAGCATTACCAACTGAAATGAAGTTTCTAGTCTCTAGTCATCATGGGAAAGTGGAGCAGATCTGCCACTATTTTTACTTGTATTGTGATAGCGCTTACCTCCAAATGAGATTAAGACCTAATTGCACTAAACTACTAGTGAGCCCTTCCCTCCCTTCTCCCCTCCTCCAAGGAAGCAGTACAGGAATCAGAAATTTCTTCTAGACTAAATGCAGTGTGACTCTTGTACTGGCAAATGCAAGGTGGCTTTCATACCGCTCCCTGGGAAGTGAGAGTGTACAGTGCAAGGCCTGTTTAATTGGACTTTGCTCAGAGTTTGACAAGTGAATTGGCAACAACACAATACTCCCAATTAAGCTGTTTTTCCCTGTAAAATTAATGGAATAAACCCACTTCTGAGAATAAGGCAAGGCTGAGACTTGCTGTGACATTACAGGAAGAGGAGGCAGGGAAGAAGAAGATTGCCAGAAGCTGAAAATTGAGCACATGGGAAAGGAGAAGTCAAAGTGTATGAGCATATTTTGATAAATATTAATGAATTAATTTGTATTTAGTTTACTTAGCTGATCTGTAAAGGCTTTAAACTGTCCAGCAATTTAATATTTTCCCCATTGTAGAATTTCCCCTAACATTGCTTTCATAAGACCTTTTCAGGATCAGTAAAATACTGATGGCTATGTCTTATGCTAGAATAGCACTACTTCTGATGTGGCTGTAACACTTGGCCTTTGGCATCCTGCCTAACCATTCACCCAGGGGCATGGCATCATGCCAGCATGACAAACATGCCCGGTTATGTATAACTGCTTAAAATAATGGATTCATTTTACCTAAGATCAAATGGTTTGTACGAAATCAGACTGCCCTGGTACATCTTAATAGATTATTAGCTAATTCGAAATTATTAAAAGACAAAACAGTTTCAATAGAAGGCCTTTTCTCATTGTCAGATTTTAGTTACATACTATTATCTGTGGGAAAGCTCTAATAAAGACACTGTAACGCTCTCAGTCTCTCTTTAACAGCCCAGATGCTTGGTGCTGACATGTCCCTAGGATTTTTCTATATAAGATAGCTACAGCATGACAGCTATTTTTAAAAAAGAGGAGCCTGAAACAAAAACCTCTATCCAGAATGCACGACATCCAGCTCTAGATGTGAATCTTTTTGCCTGGGGCATCTGCTCTTTAAGGAGAGGTGCTCATGTAGTTTAATTTCTTGTTATATTCTATTGCATTCTATATATAGATATATAGTTAGCATATAACACTGATATTCAAATCCCCTTGCTTCAGACTTCCATTAAGATACCAATTTTATATATTGAAATCAAACAGTTCTAGTGCTAATATCACTTACTAAAACCCTTCCACTAATGACAAGTAAATACATATTCATTATATATTAATTGATGTTTTTGTATAATTGATCTTTTCTTGTTCATCATCATTTACTGGAAACCACTCTATATCATGTTGTGAAATATAGGCTGTATTTAGCAACTGTTTTTTTTACAATTGGTGATGTCAAACTCATAGTGAAGCCAATATTTGTTTTAGCACAGCATCCAGTGCCCTTGTTGCTGAACTCCCAAAAGATTTCTCTACTTAGGGAAATGTGATTTTTTCTTTCATGTCAGAAGTGACCAAAATCACTAATTTCTGTAGCTTTTTTAGCCTGAGCACATTACACTAATTCATCACATAGTACATTTACAGTGCAGTAGAGAATACAGTTAAAATGCATGTATGACTACAGTAGAAAATTAAACATGAAATACATGTTCCTGAGGAAGAACAGCTTTTCTGTGTTCTGCTATTAGTGTGTGCTATCTGCCTTTATTGTAATTACAGCTTGGTGTTTGTAAAGAAAAGCAAAAGCTTTGCAATTCACCAGTAAGTGAAACCAGTTGTTTTCATGGTATTAAAGTCTTCTTTCTTGTCATATTGTCACTGAGTATCATTCTCTAGCTTTGCCAAAGTATAGGTAGTGTTAGTGCTAATAATTCGGGAATTCGGCATGTAGCTCAGTATCCTGGTCTAAAGACAGAAGTACATGTGCAGTCCCTTTCTTCAAGAGTACAAGAATAAAGCTGCCTCAACCAGACGTTTCTTCTCTCATCTCTTTTATTGTCCTATTGACTAATGTTTTTCTTAGTTCCCAGTAACCAGTGTTTACTCATCATCTTGCACGTCTTAACAGGAGAGCTTCTTCATATCAAAGTTAGCTGTAATCATACCTCAATAAAAACTGATGCATAAGGAATAGATTTTAATAAGAAAAAGTAAATTCTTAAAAACTTTTTTGTTCCTGAGTAGGAAGAGTAAATAGATAAATATTAAAAGCATCTTTGTTTCATAGTGTTGTACAATCTTGCCAGTAGTTTCAAATGAGAAGCAGCTTACCTGTCCTTTTTTCTGTTTTACAGAGAAATGATGAAGAGGCTGTTGTGGATAGAGGTGGAACTCGCTCCATTCTCAAAACACATTTTGAAAAGGAAGATCTAGAAGGTGAGAGATTATTTTTCTGTGCATTACATTGTCTCTTTCTTCTGAAAGTACTGAAATACAATTCCAATGTGTAAACACTGATTTGAGCAGGGATGCAAAAGTGAACAAGAGAGTAGAATCTCATAATGTATTTTAAAAAGAGAAATATTACTCATTTCTCACAGCGGTGCTCAGATACAGATCACGGTGGAAGGAGTTTGCTAGTTTTCAGTGATCTATAATCAAGTCCTGTAAACACGCATGTATGACTTTAGAGAAGTCTTTCTACCTTTAAGTTTCCAAGTACGTAAATGCAAGCAGGACCGATGATTTAGTACTTATAATGGCTTCTACACTTGCTTTACAATCCTCATGTAGTTGCCTAGCCACATCTTCAGCTGAACAAAAACGTTCTGGAGTGTCACAGGTTGGACAGATACTTGATAATATACAGCGCAGAAACCACCTAACATCACCATGTAGAAGAAAGTGAGAAGCTGTGAGAACTGTCTTATGATATTGGGCTAATAATTCAGATAGTCTCTGAAGGAGTCGCATTTCAGTTTGTTCAGTGGATCCCAAACTTATTCTGGTTACTACTGTACTTAAACTCTTGTACTGAGGTGTGTGACCCCCAAAGTCATAATTATTGGATGAAACTGAATTTCTATTGCACATGATATCCCATCTCTGAGACTGGAACTTGCTCATTGTAATTGTTAGCTTCTTGTGGTGGGACATGGAAGGTTCTTGTCTTTGTCATACGGAGCCACAGGAACTAGCCAAAAAGAAATACTAAGATCTGGGGTGTATTTCAACATCCTACATCTGAAAAGTTACCTGCCTCAGGTCTAAAGAGAGGTATCTCCATCTGTGCATGAACCTGAACTTTCTAAATGCCTACTCTTCATCATAATTTTTTTTCCATTTCTCTCTGGCTGTATGAATTTTGTGTTCTCTGCTGCATGATGGCCATATTGATGATTTCATGTGAATGTCAACATGATATACAGAAACTCCCTGTTACTGCTTCCCTCAGCAGTGCCTCAAAAAGCAGACATGGCTGCATTTTGAAAGGAGCCTGGCTGTGTTAGTCTGTATGAGGTAGTCTCTCACAGAAGAATGTAAAATGTCACACAGTGTAGCATGTATGAGGTAGGTAGCTCTCTGCTCAGTCTGGGGCAAGTCTGAGCCCATGCAAGGGTAGATCTCAGGTAAGATGTTTCTAGGGTGGCATGTAGGGTTTTTGTGTCTCCAGGGGTAAGTGGCTGCCAGTAGATCAGGCTGGCAATGACAATTTTGTACTTAGGCACCCCCCCCCCCCCCCTCCTTTTTTTTTTTTTCTTTCTCTTTTTTGTTTCTTTTTTATTTTTCTTCTACTTAGTCTTCTGTAGTCTTCAGTCCCTTGATCACATCCTTGGACAAAGTGAAACCGTTGTATCTGGTGTCCTTAGAGAAACACCTGGTAGAAGAATGGGGGCTCCCTGCTTTCCCTTCCCCATGATTCTGACTCACAGAGTTTTTTGTGGGGTGAAGCTACCCAAAAAAATGTCCTTTTGTTGATTCATTTTACTGATGATGGTAAGGTGGCATTTTAAAAACAGACAACTTCCTGGAGAATGACATCTTTAAGCTCAGTCACATGGGTAGACTCAAGTGTTAAGGCAATCAGAATTACTATGATGTTCCACATGTGACTACATGGAACCTAAAGCCTCATCTCAAAATGTGTGTAATTTAAAAACTGTATTTAATTACTATTTTTCCCCACCATCCTATATGTGTAGAGTTGCTCCTGTGAAATAGCAGTGAAAATTTTCTTTCAAAATCTGCTCCTAGGATGTTATCAATAGAAATCGGAACATGACAGTGATAACCCCCAATCTTTCCATCAATTTAAATTGTTTACAACACTGAAAAATTCTGTAGTTAGCCAATGAGTCTGCTTTTCTTTAAAATCACGCTACTTCATAATGTTCTAACACAACAATTATTCAGTGTAGAGTCCTTGATAATTCAGTTAGCTTTCTCAGATAAATTTCATGTCCACTCTAAGATCAGATCAGTGTGTCTTTAAATATATGAGCACTGCATCCAGAAATACCAAGTGACATAAAAAGATTTGAAGGGATTGTAGATTTTAATATCCAGTTGCTGTTAATAGCATGTCCATTTGTTTCGCAGCACATCTAGGCACTTTTGCATCTGGAAGCAGTGGATGGGACTCACAAACGTCACTGTCTTATTCTTATCCAATATACATTGTGTTGGGTTTTGCTGAAAACTTACCTTTTTCCTAATGACATAACAACTATAAAATAAGAAATTATATAATCAGGTGCTAATTGCATAGCTTAGTAAAAATCATATAATTGATTAATATGTATCATGTAATTAGCTCTTTGACAGACATTTAATTGGGTTTATGTTTTAAAAATGTAAATAGCTAGTTACTGAATATTCTAGCAAAGACTAGTTTTGACAGGGATAACGTTTCAATAGCACCATATCAGCAACATTTCAAAAACTGCAATTCATATGAAGAACTAAAGGTTGTTTAAATCTGAAAATCAGTATTCAATTTCTTCTGAATAAATCTTAAAATTATAAGTGTTTTGCTATTTTTTAATTTTAGACTGTCAGCATTCAAATGTCAGAAATACTGATTTAAATGTGTACTAAAATTTCCATCTGAAATTTCTTGGCCCAGCGAATACTTGCATTTGCATATTTTGGGGCAGCCATTGTGCAAATATATTGCAAGTACTTATCTTGCTGAAAGCATGAAAATATCATGGTGATTAATGCTGCCTGGAAAAACATCCACAAGACCAGAATTTTGCCTCAGTCTCTCTAGATCAGTGTTTTCCTTCCCTGAGCAGTATAGTAAAAATTTGGGGACATAGGACAGGAACTGCAGTACTTATGAGGACAGAAGAGACGTGGTGCTCGTCTTAGTGCCAGTAATGATACTTGCAATGTGTACTTCAAACTGTATCTTTTTACTTAAGCTTTGTAGTGCTTCAGGGGTGGATTGTTTGCAGAGCTTTGGCACTCAGATTTTCAGCATGAATGATTTTTCCACGTAATTCATTTTTCCTGAGTTGTAATGTCAAGATCAGTCACTAGTACCGAACAGGTCATTTGTCTGACTGTTGGATTAATGAAAGGACAGAGAAAACATTTCTAAAAACAAAACAAGAAGCCTGTCTCCCCTGGTTATAATAACATATTTTGCATGTTATCTTTCAATGTGTGTACAGACAAAATTCCTACTCAAAATAAATATGCTTTTATTTTTATCAGTCGTAGAATTCCTAAATGAGAATTGGACACTGATTCTGGATACTAAAGTGCTTAATTGCAAAAGGACAGGTTGTACATGTACCTGTACTGGGAGCAGGTAGGCAAGTTTTCATAAACAGATGTGCACATCAACAAACAGTTGCACTCAGACAGCTTACTCCCGGTTGTTGTCTCTGGCTGTCTGCCATTGCTTCAATGCATGTTCAGTAGTAACAGTTTTCTGATGAAATGGATATACCTACTTTATCTCTCCTAGATTAAAAACATTTGGATGTGTCTGGAGATCTCAGATTCTCTCAGATCACGTGCTGAGACCTTTGGACTATACAGATATGCAAGAGGATTGGCACTAAGTGCACTCTAAGGTCTTTTGCTTATGCCCACCATATCAGCTGAGAGTGAAAATGACTATTCCATGCCTGTCCTTGCTAGAGGTGGTCAGCTGCAGATCCTGGATTTTTGTGGCAGGATTTCAGAACCGCTGTGGGTATTACTGTGGCCTGGTTTGAGAAGCAGCTTCGATAGGGAGATGGCTGGAGATGGGATTGTTAGGTGGAGGCCCAGGCATGTATCAGGGATGAATTCTGGTTCTGTTGGAGGAAGTTGCAAAATGAACCTTGATTCAGAGAAGTCAAGATTTTGCTTAAGCTTTTTACATTTCATACATTTTATCTGCCTAAGTGGTGTGGGAAAAATTTGTCTCATGGGAAATCAAGTTTGCCGTCTTTCATGTCTCTCAGGACACATAAAACACCATATCCAATATATAAATCACTGTACATCAGAATACGCATTCTGACGCTTTTGACAGACTTTAGATTAAGTGGACTGATTACTGAAAGTCACAAAAGACTTCAAGCTAAATTAGGAAATAAACATCACTAGTACAACACTGAATATGATGCAGAAGCTGAGGATTTAAACTTAATAAACCAAAAAGTAATTTGAAATGTTAGTGTGCTTGTAGAGATGTTTTGTATTTAACAACCTGCATGAAGCTTAATTTTGATAGTAAGTGTCCTGCCGACCAAAAAAAGAGACATCCCAGGGTATTTAATCATTCTCCTTTAAAAATGGTTATTTTAGTTATTATTTCTTTTTAGATTTGTTCTAGCTTGTGACAGTAATTTAAAAATTATTTTCATTAAATTTTGATTATATACAGTTAGGGTTAATATATGAAAAACTACTGCGATTGAACTCTAATCTCCATATATTATTTGGAGATCTGAGTGGCTCCAGATATTGAAGTAGGCTTTTATTCTCAGAGACTGGACATTTTTTATAGAAATAACATAATAGTGGACTTGTCTGCCACTGACATTATTTACCTGAAAATTAATAGGACCTAGCAGCTCACAGGACTGAAAAAACATAAATCTTATTAACCCGCTGGCCTTGATTCAGCCTTGCCCCCATGTAGAAGCAAGTCAGCTACTAATTCTGCTTGGCCAGACAGGAACATCGACCAAGGTCTCCCCTCCCTTTGGCTGCCAGGACACTACAGCTTATTGCAAATAATTTGTTACCCCATCAGTACAGATCCCCTGCTCCAAGCTTCCTTGCTTCTGCTTCCCTTGGGTGCCCTGTTCATCCTGATGTTCACTCTGACCTACCTCATGCTCCTTGCAGCAATGTTCGTTAGACTTAGAGGGGCAGAATATAAGTTGTGGAAGTAAAGAGTTGGAGAGAGATTCAAGTTAGTCTATGCCTGT